AGCCCCCCCCCCCCCGCCAATATTTTATTAAAAAAATTGAGTTTTTAAAAAAAAATTATAAAAAAATTGAATTTAAAAAAAAAATTTTTTTAAATAATTGCGCTGATAGGCCAATTAATAATAATCTATCCTGACTCACAGATAGCACAAACTCACAAATCATAATGAAAGAGGGGCCTAACGAAAGAGGCAGAGAAGACTCTGACAAGGCATTTCCGACGATCTAGAGACTCCACACTTTCAAGATTTTCCCATTCAGCGCCAACCATGGTGAAGCCGAGAAATTTTAGGGCATGTGCAAGGCACCCATTGAAGGTCCAGACACACCGGACGCGAATCCACAACGCGACGCGATTTTTTAGTTTTTGAAAGTTAATAAAACAGCCAATGAGAGCAAATTTTGAAAGGTATGTACACCAGATAAAATGTTATAACGCTTCTAAATATTTGGAAAATTTAAACTAGGATCAAAGTTATCGTTCAATGAAAATCGAAAAATCGCGTCGCGTTGTCGAATCGCGTCTGGTGTGTATGGACCTTAAGGCATGCAGGCTACCATTAGGGAAGCTATGCATTAAGTAACGTTAGCAGCAACTATTTATAAGGTGTGGCCATCCACAGGCGGCCCAGACGTGTATTAGTATATAGTAAATATATAATTATAGAATATACCGTACAGTAAAATTTGTAATGAATTTTATATTTTAAAATTATATTTACTTGCCTACTTTGATTGTATGTGATCGTCTTTTATTTCTGGGCGACTTTACACTCTGTGCCCGCGACTGTCATCATTCCTATCACCTATGATGATAGTCGCAGGCATAGAGTGTAAAGTTGCCCAGAAATTAAAGACGATCACATACAATCAAAGTAGGCAAGTAAATATAATTTTAAAATATAAAATTCATTACAAATTTTACTGTATAGTATATTCTATAATTCTATATTTACTATATACTAATACACGTCTAGGCCGCCTGTGGTCCACCAACGACAAGAACAAAAGAATAACAACAGCAACAGCAACGCAAACTACAGTTAACAACTGTAAGAACATCTTGGCTGAGAATGTACGCTTGCGTACCTATTTTTCTGCCTTGCACCGAAATTTTTATTTGAATTGTAAATTATTGTAAGCCCTGTTTTGTGTTAAGATTTTTTTGTGAAAAATACCTAAACTGTCGTCTTGTTTTTTTTCCCTGTGTGATTTCGCAGTGAATGCATAGGCACGATCAAATATTGAGATCAGTGGAAATTGTCACAATTAATTATTCTGTCCCCACCCTCCTGCTGATTCTAATTGACCTTCAACCAATCAGATGTTGTCTTAATGCGCAATTTCTCCGCGAACGTTTGATTCAACCAATGAACGGCGACGTTACATGATTATTATGCATGCTGAAGTTTAAAGTGCTTTTTATGACAATATGGCGGAGTCAAGCCATAGCGGGACAGACTATGATTATTTGATAAAATTTCTAGCTTTGGGCGACTCTGGCGTTGGAAAAACTAGCTTACTATATCGTTATACGGATGGCAAATTTAATCCGAAATTTATTTCGACTGTTGGCATCGATTTTCGCGAGAAACGAGTGGTAAGCATATCGGTGGAAATTTATTTATGTTGAATACTTAATTTCAGCTGTCTAAATATTGTCGAGGAAATATTATATTGATTGTTTCATTCATTGACTTCCTTTGGAGCAAGTTGGGATTGTTCTACTTAAATTATGTACCTGTATTTTTGCTATGTTTGTTTGTTTTGGAAAGCGTTCAATCTGTAAACCCAGATCTCATCAGTTTAAAAATGCTGTTCTCATTTTATAACATGACTCATTACGATCGAAAACTTTGCCAAATTAACATAAATGGTGTTTTCTCCAAGAATATACATCGCCATGCAAATATACGAGTGTTTTGTACTTTAGTTTGTGAACATATGTACAGTATAGATAAAACTATATAAACATCCTCTCCTGCAATATAAATATATAACAAGATTTTTATCATGCGATCACTCCTGCTGGGGCATAGTTTTGTTTTTGTTTTTATCTTGAGTTAAGTGATTTTAGTGGATAGTTGGTTTACTTTTTATGCTTTTGAGGTTTACACTTTTAGTGATATTAAATTAAATAATGACTGAGTTTATAACTATAAATAACAATTGAAAACAATGCAAGGCACAGAGATTGCATAAATTTTCTGCTCTGATTAGCATTGTTCCTTGATAGTCTTTCAGGAACTTGAGCATGTGACAACACACAATATAGCTGGTGTTAAAAATCTTATTCATGACTTTAAGGCCTAGTTTAGATGGTGAATGTTTCATGCACCAAACCTAATCAAATTAAACACGGCACAAGTTCAGCAACTGATTTATCAGAATTTCTAATATATCATAATCATATAATGTATGTTAAACAAAAATATGCATTAGGTTCGGTACATGAAAAGCATCACGTTTGAACCCATGTTGAACCTACTATAAATAGAAGGGTCTAGGCTGGGGTGGGGGGTGTTTCATTGTATGTTTACTCAATCAAAATCTACTCCTCTAGGTGCATCATCCTCAAGCACTTGATGGAACAAAAGCAACTAAGGGGCAAAGAATACATCTGCAGCTTTGGGATACTGCAGGACAGGAGAGGTATTGACTATGATATGACTTGGAACATAGATAGTATACGGTGTAGCCCCTTGTGGGGGGTCTAATCGTCCCACCATCCAGGGCATGGTCCCCCGGAAAATGTCTATTTTGGGGGTCTGCAAAATGCCATATCATGAATTTTAGGCACATTTTATGATAATCTGAAAGTCACAGATTTGGTATATTTTATGTCATAGACGAAAGCATTACAAGGTTACCCCCCCCCTCCCCTCCAATTTCTCCTCAGTTTTGGAAGAATTACAAAATTGGTCCTGAAAGAGGGGTTCTGGACCTGTCATTCCCCCTCCCCATGGCTACTGTGACCTACAGCAAATGGAAAAGGAGGGGGTTGCTATATAGACATGCATTATCATAATGCAGAGGCTGATTCTAAATCATTGCCAATCAAGCAAATCCCAAGAAACAAACTAAAGATGGCCATATAGGATGTTTCATTGTCTTGTGCAGTTCAGCAGTTAACAAAAAACAGATGTTTGTAATTTAATTAATATTAGCCATCATATTATAGATAATGTTATTGTAAATCCTATTTTGTCCTTTCTAGGTTTCGTAGTTTAACGACAGCCTTTTTTCGTGATGCAATGGGGTTCTTACTAGTCTTCGATCTTACTCACGAGCAGTCTTTTGTAAACATAAGAAACTGGCTTAGTCAATTACAAACACATGCATATTGTGAAAATCCGGATATAGGTAAATTTCATTGACCAGCAACATTTAAAGTTTTTGTCATAGTTAGAATGTCATAGTTAGAATTAGAATGGCAGCTTGATCTGTTAGAAGTGGTGTTGTGTGGTTCATATTCTAAAGCAGGGTTCTGGTCAGGGTGCATCGTCGCTAAGGGGGGTAAATTCAGGGATGGATCCAGCTTCATTGGGTAGGGGGGTGCAGATTGGCGTTGGTCATGTGCCATGGCGGTACTGTAAATCAAAGCTCCCTTGGCCAAGGCTAGAGTGTCCCTCTACCCCCTGTAAATTCATCCCTGATTAGCTTGAGATTAGTCGAGAGATCCCTAGACTCTAAATATCTGGAAAAAATGTCTATATGCACTAGTGGAGCACCAAAAATAACAACTAAAAAAAAATTGGGTGTATACCCCTTCTTTCCAATTCCATCCTTGGCAGTCAGACAGTTATTTGTATTGCTAGATATGACAGTAGATCTATCTGTAGAAGCAATTAAAAATCTTTTGTATTAGAAATGTTCAGTACTTGCTGCTTGTTAATTAACTAGTAGTACCACATTATCATTATTTCTGTGTAGTTTTATTGGGCAACAAAGCTGACCTCCAAGACACCAGAGTAGTCGATGGCAATGAAGCCAGAAATGTTGCTGAAAATTTAGGATTAAAATATTTTGAAACAAGTGCTGCGACTGGACAGAATGTTAATGAAGCAGTGGAGTCGTTACTTGATCAGGTAAGTTAATTAAATGAATTTTCCATCAACAAAACCCTTCTACAATTAGTTTTATCGAGTGAGATGCCCAAAAACCTTATATTTACCCATACACCTTACATTGGCATCACCTTAGTACTGTATATATTAGAGGTGTGCTAATCCGATCCGAATCCAATCCAATCGGATTGATTCGGATTTCGGAACCAAAATATTCATTTCGGATCGGATTGATAAAGTTGTTTCGTAGTCGGATCAGACTTCGATATCCGAAATAAAATGAATTAATTATGCACACATTATTGCAAGAATTAATTATCCATGCATTTATCAAAGCATTATCATGGTTGTCGCTGCATTATTCGTTTGATACTTCTTTATCATTAAAACTCGGATTGGATTATAAACATTCAATCCGATCTGATGCACACCTCTAGTATTAATACATGAACTTGCAGTAACAGCTTGACAACTGGCCTCCATAAGGGCCATTCCATTTAATGTACACCCCACCCCCCCCCTATGGACAAGTTCAATAAAATTTGAACCCCTAAGAAAAAAGATCAATTAGTGTCGACACAAACCTGCCACCGCCGCCCCCCAGAAATTAAGAAATTCTTGCCTTACCCCTCAGAAAAAATGCAAAGATCAAAGGATACCGATGTACACAGCCCCTCAGAAACGGCTCTTTCAACCCCCCTCAGAAATTCTTGTCCATAGGGGTGTGTGTATATTAAATGGAATGGCCCTAAGCTCAGTTGGTTAGAGCACTCTACAAGGGCCTACAGTTGCATTTTTGTTCTACCGGTCTCAAATAGATGTTTCATGGACAAAAATTACTGGCACAATACCCTTTACCACTATCTTTATTATGTTACCCAGTCTGTAATCCCAGCTACAGTTGCGCATTTCACATTTGTCCTATCTATTTTTATCACCAGGTCATGAGGCGTATGGAAACCTGTGTTGACGCGGACCTACTACCAAGCAGTTTTATAAATAACAATCGTAATTCAACACGGCTGCGGGAGGTTGACGAAGCCAATGAGGAATCAGGAGGTTGTCCCTGCTAGGAATAAGCTAGGAATTACACTTGTTAGCGCTTGTTCACACCAGCCAGCTCCGAACTTGATAGGATAAGTTATTTCAATGCTGTACATTACATAATACTACGGTATTTATTTCAGGACTAACAGTTTAATACCATAGGCGCTTTCCATGAAAAGGTCAGACCAAATTGTTATGTAACAGAATACATTTACACTTCGGACAGTGAGCCTGAGAAAATTTGGATCAAATCAAAATGAGAAAACGAGGTCCATCTTGGCCAGATTTTCTAAAACTGAACCAGCTCTTTTTATTTACACAAAGTCAAAGACATAAATTCTGATATGATTAATCTGAGTGGAAAGCGCCCTATGGTTGTATATTTACTGTTTCTAGTAAATTCCTACATTGAGAAGCAACTTTAAATACAACTGCTAGTGTGGACAAGCTAACGAGAGAATTTACATTGGCTGACCTGTTCAAATGAAAATACACATAGACTGAGGCAAGTGAATAAAACAATGCACAAGTTGTAACAAACCTGCAGCAGGCTTGTAGCAATGCTGTTCCAACAATCCAACAACTTGTCAACAGGATGTGTTCGCACTGCTTGTTCCCAGCTTGTTGACAAAAGTTGCTACAAGGTTGTTGAGCTCAACAGACTTGTTACAAGTTGTACCAACAATTTCTTATCGTCTTCAACAATTTGTTGACAAGTTGTGAGTGGCAACCTTGTAGCAACTTGATAAAATAACAGCACTGTTACCACATTGATTATTTGATACGCGTACTATGTGTTAGAATTTAGCGATCGATTTACGCGAGTGGTATATTGCACTGTATATACGAAATACTATGATGTGTGTTTTCAATTTGATCAGGGTTTTAAATTATAGAAACATTCATGTTACCAGGGCTATTGTACCTGGGAAATATATGGAGCTACAGGAAATACAACTGTACAATTTCAGTATTGATATGTACAAATTAATGAATGTAATTTATGTATTTAATGGTTAATACATGATTATTTAAGCATTTGGTATGTCGCTTACTTGCTTGGTGCATGTGTGAAATAATTAGTCAACTGAAAATTGCAATTTATCATTATTCATCACCACTTCCAGTTAAATGACCATCATCATCATCACCACCATCATCATCACCACCATGGTATTAAACCGCCATCATGATCATCACTATCACCACCATCATCATCACCATGGCATTAAACCACCATCACAGTGCTCGAAATAACGTTTCCAATGGTCCCAATCATGGTCATCAGCAGTCATGATTTTCTGCTGATCAAATGAAAGTCTGGCCGATCAGTATGGGATAAGTTCTGTTTATATGTTCTGTGATGCCATAGTATTGGATGGTGTTCGTTAGCGACATTTACCATGTTTTTGAGACATTGGTTCTTGCCGATCAAGATGATCGGCAACCTTGTTTCTCTGCGGATCAAAAGCAATTTCCTGCCGATCGTTGATCGGCCGTTATTTCATGGCCTGCCATCATGCTCATCAACACCACCATCACGGCATCACCAATTAAAATCACCACCATCATGATTATAGAGATCATAAAATTTACCGGGTACTCAGTAAATTTGCAAGTTCTCAACATTTTATTCATTCATGGATTGTCACTAATCAATTTTGCATATTCGTTTTAAATACGCTCTATATTCTACACACAATTTCTGAATCATTACCTTCTCTAGTCAGACATCACAAGCTAGAGTTGAACAAAGCCACTGAGGCCAGTTCCTTTATACTGAGTTCTACTTTACGTTGCGATGCTTGCCTTTACGAATGACTTGGAATGGAACTTTCCCAATTTAGCTAAGTTACGTACAAAGTTTGACAAAATAGTGTAACTACGTCGGTACTCGCAATAATCTGCGACACAGCGTCAATTTTAGTTTCTCATATTTTGATTTATTTTGACATACCGAGATGAAGAATTCTACGAATTGTTCCTGGGCCATACCATGAACCCCTAGAAAAAGAACACGCAGCCACGAAGGGCATTATCTTTGGATTGGAGATGGGGGACGCACCCCTATTTTTACGACAGACGGAATTGGAAAAACTGGAATTCCTTATGCCATCCATCATCGACAACCTGTTTGTATTGCTATGAATTTAGCCCCATCATGATAATCTAAGGGCCGCAGCAACTCGTTACCCGCTGTTGTGGTGCCCCTGCCACTTTTTCCATGTACTTTTTCATTTTAGTAACTTTATATGTATGCATGCAGTGTCTTATAATCTTGTACTTACGTATGGCAAAGCTAATAAATTCAAATTCTAAACAAAACTTACTTCATCAAACCTGTCCAGTAGATTTCCGGTAATATATCCTTCTTCACGAGATATGAAAAATATCTTTCCTAAAGAGGAAAGTTTGCATGGTTGAACATTCAGTTTTTGGACTCATGAGGCAGATGTTAAATTATTTTGTTTTCCACTTTCCCTGATGCTGGTCAGTTTGAAAATTTGCAGTTTTCAATCGTAAAATAATTGCTTTGCAGTGAACCTAAATAACAAGATGTACATATGCAGTTTAATAGCATTGTATTTCTTATATTCACCTTTCCCTGGTTGAGTGGCATGGTCTCCAGTGGCTGAGCGTTGTAATCAAATTCAGCAAGAATACACTTCCCATACGATGTGACCAGAGGACACGAGGTGTAACCATCATACTAAAATACACAATTATGGGTATCATTCAATACCACACAGCACACTATATAATACCATACCATACCATACCATAACCATACTTTACCATACCATACCACAACCATACCATACCATACCATACCATACCATACTATAATACCTTAACCATACCATACTATAATACCTTAACCATACCATACTATATAACCATACTTTACCATACCATGACCATACCATCACATACCATACCATACCATACCATACCATACCCTACCATAACCATGCCATAACATACCCACCATAAGCATACCATACCTTACCATATCCTGACCATATCATGCAATGCTTATACCACAATACAACATATCATGCCATACCAAATGCAATGTGACCATAGTAATGTTATACCACACCATATCACTACTTACACTTGCATTCATGCTTTTCCCATAAATATAAGCATAAAGGTTATTCATAACAACTCCCAGTTGCCCAGCTACAGCGGCTGCCGTCTTTCCATTAGGCGTATTCACGCAGTCACCCAGACCAAACACATTAGGATAACGTTTATGTTGTAAGGTATACTGATGAACATCCAGAAATCCTTTGGAATCTGTCAGAGATGTTGATTGACGTAGAGCTGGGGGTGCACTCATTGGTGGAGTCACGTGGATCATGTCATACTGTATAACATAGAGAGCAAAATTATATGCAAAGGGCTATCTTTAAAACATGGAATGGAAAAGGTCAAGTAAGATGCCCAAAATATGATATACCTCCATAGTCTTTGTTTCTCCGGTGCTAACTCCATCTGCATTAAGAATGTCGAAAGTTGCGGTCCTCTGGGCAGCGTTCACTTTCACCAGATTGTGCCGGAAATTAAGGTTCAAATCTCGTTTCTCACAAATCTTGGATAATTCTTGTGCATATTTCTTCACTCCAAATATCACACCCAGAGCAGAACAAAACTGAATTGAAGCCTTGTCTCGTACGCCGCTCTGTGACAAAATGAGTAAGGTTTACTGTCTAAGGGCCTGTTCGTGTGGGCAAAGGTTAGCCCGGTTAGCGAGAAAACTTTTCGACAAGCTAGTTTACAAGCGAGATCTCGCCTTGGTAATAAGAGACAAAAAGTTTTCCCGTGTACCGAAATCTTGCTTGTTGACAGGCGAGATCTCGGTGACCGGGAAAATGTTTTTCGCATATGAACACAACTTTCCTGCTTAGCGGGATAACTTTCTGTCATGTCAGCAACTTTTCAATTCAATTGATGTTCAGTGCTACGTACGTCACAGCTGGAAACTTTACCCGGTAAGCGGGATAACGTTTCTCCATATGAACAGAACAAAAGTATTTGGTTAGTCGAAAGGTTTTCTCGTTAACCGGGATAACTTTTGCCCATATGAACAGGCCCTAAGTTTCTAGATTTGATTTGAAATAAACATCGGGACTACCCTGGATTGTCTCTGTATATTGTATATCCTAAAGATTTGGAATGCTTATTTAGTAAAAACGATATAAACATGGTCGTATACATATTTGATTGGAGAGGACTATTTAGAGTATCAAGGGTGTTGTAGTTTCAAGCCCCGGTCAAACGAGAACAAGAGTTGCATGAGAGTTGATGAGAGTTGAGAAGCGAGAGTTTGCATGAGAGTTTTCTCAACTGTCATGCCCCGGTCAACTGAGAACAAGAGTTGCATGAGAGTTGATGAGAGTTCGATTTTAATCCGAACATCGATTTTATCTAATTTCAACACATAAACGTTATAGTTCATAGTTATAGAATATAGTATTTAATTAGTATTTTAACAGGGAAGAGCCATATGTATGGATCTGTTGAATAAATCGTTATTATTATTATTATTATTATTATTATGAGAGTTGAGAAGCGAGAGTTTGCATGAAAGTTTTCTCAACTTTCATGCCCCGGTCAACTGAGAACAAGATTTGCATGAGAGTTGATGAGAGTTGAAAAGCGAGCGTTTCCATGAGGGTTTTTCAACTCTCGTGTCCCGGTCAAACGAGAACAAGAGTTGCATGAAAGTTGATGAGAGTTGAGAAGCGAGAGTTTACATGAGAGTTCTCTCAACTCTCATGCCCCAGTCAAACAAGAACAAGAGTTGCATGAGAGTTGGTGAGAGTTGACTGGATATTAGCACGCGCGGAGCGAAAACTCTCATCAACTCGCATCAAAAATTTGAACCAGCTCAAAGTGGATGAAAGATGATGAGAGTCAATTTGAGAGCTGTTGTCGTTCAAACATGAGCGAGAGTTTCAAGTCTCATCAACACATGGTGGAGGTTATTATGTTCTACCTTTCGAAAATAATCATCAGCAAGGTACATGATTTTCTGCGGAGCACCAAGACATTTGATTGGAGTGATTGGCAAAGTGAACAGGGCGTTTCCACCTTCGAAGCTCTGCAAACATTTCCACGTATCTTTTACTGTCTGCGCTGAATAGTTTGAACATACACCATCGGTGTGCAGTGCTTCAGGCAAACCTTCAACCTGAGCAGAGAAAATATGGTATGTAGGAAATTAGAAAATTATCTGCAAAGTCTGTGACTGTGATATCTCAAGAAAATGCATCGAAATCTTACCATGTCAAATCGCAATTCAAGTCCCAATGCCACAATAAGATTTTCATAACTGATCTAAAAATATCATGTGATTATATAATTTATGGTAGTTATGAATAATGCAAGTTCCGTATTTAATGTAGGCAAAGCAAAGATACTTACTGTACAGGTCAGTAAAGTAACAGTTGCAATAGAAGCTGATTTTAGTGCATGTTAATTAGTTAAAATGATTTCTGCAATTCTGCTGGCACTCAATGGGTTAATAATCAGACTACAGTATCTGCCCATGACCCTTGCTAACCCTTTAAGTTGCATTGCACCCTATATATAATGTGCCCTACTTTGTTATTTTACTCAGTTTAAGTCCCATTTAAATTTTCCGCAGAAATAAAATTTTGTAAAATGTAATTGGCGGACACCGCAAATTCGCCATCGAAAAAAAATTTTGAAGTTTAAAATTTTCAACTTTTAACAATGATATTTTCGGAAAATATTCTGTCCATGGAAATTTTTCTTGAGTGGAAATGGGCGCGAGATTGCTGGCGTTCAATGGGTTAAACAAATTTGTGAATCAAATGGTATGCACTGTTTAACAGTCTATTTGTCAACAAGACTTGGTCAAATGGTGGCACATGGTAGGTTTGTATCTTACAACATTGTTTTCTTGTGAGCGGGACAATGACAGGGACAGTGCTAACTAAAGTGTGTTTTTTGGCACAGGAGGTAATGTCCTTTACTACAAGAACTGTAGTAGTACATTGTTTGAAAAATAAATATGGATGTTGGTATAGCACACCTTATCACCATCAGATGTCACAACAGAATTGCTCTCAGGATGAAATGTTTCAACTTTAGTCTGCAGCCAATCACATCCTTTTGGAATCATTTTCTCCATTGGTTGTGACGACGTCTCAAAATCGACAGCACCAGCTCCGACCAGGGTCCATAGTGGTTGATAATACTGGGTCTGGTAAACAAATGTTGCAAAATTCATTAATGTTCTAGTAAAAAATCTATATGTGCAGTCCCCAGGTTGGAGATGTTTGTCCCCTTAAGCAGCAGGGGGGCGGGGCATGGGAGGGCAATCATGTGATGTTAATTTCTTCTTAAAACCCAAAGCAGTACTGGATACATAAGGCCAACGTGAGTTCATGTCTCAAAGTGAAAGAATTTTACACATTGAAAAATACTGGTAATGAACCAATAATTTATGAATTAAAAATTATGGGACATATTACCAAACTGGGGAATCTTTCAACTTTGTTAACCTTTTAAGTGGCACTGCACACTAATGCAATCCTAATCAGGCAGAGATGTCCACGGACCCGCTGCCCTCTGTCACACACTTTTCCTCAGGAGCAATTTTGTAATTCTTCCAAAACTGGTGGGCATAACCTTGTAATGCTTTCATCTGACATGAAAAAAACAACAATTTTCCGGGGCACCACATGCCGGGACAGCCAAACCCCATACTGTGTTATCAACAACTGGATCGACCCCCCCCCCATTTTACTCCCAGAGATATTAAACCAAAACATGTTCAAATCACATCTAAATCAACACAAAAATAAGTACACCTTGTAGTAAAGGTAGATGAATTTTTATTTCTCAATTTAAGACAATATTCTAGCAATTATTTGACAAATTGAATAATGTATTTACAAACTAATTAATACAAAAAGCTTATGTGAATAATGCGAGCACAGGGGGTGTTAACATAACATTTTATCCTCCTTTCTGATTCTTGCAAAATTCGCATGACTCTTGCAATTTAATGGAACCAAGTTTAATTTATATGCTTGCAAATTGCCACAGGAAATTGCCAATTATATAAAGGAATTCAATTAAGCACTAATTGCCCCTAAATACTCCTAATTAAACATTAATATCAGATAAATTACGATTATATCATTTATGTAGCAAATATACTTACAATAATAGTATAATACATTATTTCCACAAATTTATTCTATTATTTATGATGATAGCAAACATTTGTTTATATTAGTCTCTGGTTCTCAAATACTCAAGCTCAATACTGGATATAAAATAAATAAATAACTGTTGTCTGTTGAATCTTTAATCTTTAATCTTACAAACAAACAAACAAACAAACAAACAACAGAAATGCATAAACAAGCAAACAAAAGCAGGCAAAATACAGAAACACTAACACATTTATAGATAAAGAAACTCAAAATACCTGTGAAGGTTCTATAACTGCAACAGTTGCGTCTTTACCGTAAATACGTTTGAGTGCAGCTGCTGTTCCTATGCCCCCTGCACCACCACCAGCCACGACAAACTTATAAGAGTTTTGAACGAGAGAGCTGGTCGAAAAGCCTCGTCGAAATATCGAAGCACTGCGTAAAAACCTCATGTTTACAAGCGTGCGTGATGGTTTCACAAAATTAATCCTTTTGCGTTATTTACCTCCCCCCTTGCCTGCGAGCAGACCCTAATCTATGTACTAGAGTCTGCGCGTTTGCGGGGGAAAACTTGTATGGTGGCTTTACAGGCCCGCCCGCTTTACAACAAAAATTTAGCCTGCGAGACAGGCTCTTCGGGAAAGTTTAGATGATTCGCGATTGGTGAATCGATAATTATGGAATATCTCTATCAAGCTTTGTTCAAACGGCACTTGGTGAATTCAAAACCGCACACTGGCACACAAATGTAATGAGACGGAGGCCTGTTTTAAATGTAGAATTTCCGTCGAATTAGCCACTTCGCATAGCATCCTTAGTTAAAAGAATATTTTTTGCCAACAACACTGTAATCGTCGAAGGTGTTAAACCTTTCCAGAAAAAAGAAAAGGTTTTGTCAAAACACTGACTTTGAACCTGCGTCATGAAATTGTCTAAGTCAGTATGGACTAAAGGAAATAAAATAGAAATATAATTTTAGCATTCCCATTGAGAATTTGCAGTAGTCGTCCCGTGCTAAGGGGTGAGATCGGGAGAGTGCCAGCGGCCCCCAGATATCGACACTTTGCTGTTGAACGTGTTTGCATTATAATAGACAATTTCCATTATAGACTATTTTTTATCTTTGCAAAAAAAAAGTATATTCCCGGAAAGAGCACACTAAAATTAGTAAAATTGCAAAGTTTGGTTGCGAAATGTTGTAAAATGCGGAAAATATGGCCTTGCAAAGTTTGCAAATTTTATATACTTTTGTATTGCGTGCGGAAATTGCTGCCACATTTGGGCCGAAAATTGTAGCAATTTCCGCACGCAATACAAAACTATACAAAATTTGCAAACTTTGCAAGGCTATATTTTCCTTATTTTACAACATTTCGCAACCACACTTTGCAATTTTACTCATTATTGCATCTCCTTGCCTAGTTTTAAAATTAGGAATTTTTTCGCTGACCAATCACATTGCCAAGATCATTAATTAATAAATTAATAATTAATAGCTCGATGGAGTGGCGACAGTGGCATGACAGTGGGCCCACGACAGAGGAAAAAATTTTTCAGTTCTAGATGATTCATTCACATTTAGTTTCCACAACAATATCTGCTGTTTAGCGTAATTTCACACGTATAAGGCACCTGTTCCAATTTCGATTAGCCAATTTTAGTCAAACAAGCCTTTTTCGGCCAGCCCTTCTTGCAAATACACAGTGAAAAGTTATCGAATATCCACATCACTGATGTCCATTCATGATATTTATCGCCTGACTTCCGGTGCAAAGTTGAATATATAATGCGACACGTTTTATTGTGATCATTGTTTACGAAAATTAACCAAAACAACGAAAATGTCTAGTTATTTCGGCATATTTCGTTCGATTTTTCAAACTGCTGTGGACGTCTGGCCTAAAAGACGAATACGATGGACATTTTTGGCAGATTTTGCGAACGACATGAGACAATATGGCAGAATTTCATCGTATGACATCACAACTGTGTGCACATTCGCTGTGGTTTTTACTCTGCTTCGTTCAATTCTTACAACTTATGTATTTAAGGTTAGTTTCGAGTAAAAAAATCCGTTATCTATTGTTATTATTTGGTTTATAACAGAGCTAAAGCTGGGATTAAATATTTATCAGCATAGTGGGATTATATGGACAGATAGTACAGTATATATACTGAAGGGTAATATAGCTATATCAGTGTCTTGGCAAGGGTATAAATTTGTAGCATAATTTGAATTTTTAAACTCAACTGTGGGAGTGATTTGTAAAACTAAAAGAATTCTTTCAGATTGAAATATTCCTCAGGGTGTCATTATAAAATACTTATTTAATCAGCAGGGGGTATTTGCATGAGCTGCATGTGACCAGATTGAGCAGATATCAATATTTTGAGGATTGGCTTCTGATTTGTATTTTAATCGTAAACATGTTTTTTGAAGTTTCTAGACTACGGTTCTACCCTATACAACTGAAGATGTGGGTTTGAAATATCTTCGGATGGACCTACCTAGGTTTCTGCTAAACCACCTAACACTTCTGACTCTCCCTTGACAAGTAAAATTGCCATATATAAATATTTAATGCATCAATTACAGCACATTGCAACTCAATGAGTTAACATGATACATGGGCAGGTAGTTAACCAATTCATGCATGAACACTTATTCCTTGACAAGTAAAATTGCTATTTAATGTTTTGTATTTCTTTACTTGTAGCCATTTGCTGCGAGCATGAAGTTTACACCAAAAAATAACAGGAAATTTCCAGAAAGCATGTGGAAATTCCTCTACTACTTTACCATGTACATATATACATGTGTTGTATTGTTTGGGAAACATTCTGAACTATATGAAGACCCCAGAACATGCTGGTCAGGTAAAGTAGTTGAGTTGAGTCCAGAAACCTGCGGATTGAGAGAGACTCGACTGCCTGAGATTAAAAATACAAGTAAAACTTTGACATTTTGAGCAAAGTATTTTTCACGTAGTTAAATCCCTCTAAATCCACAGCTTTCTGGTGTTGTAACTACCGAATACATATGCTGGCACAGACAGACTAGAGTCATAGCACTTTATGATACTGAGTACTTAGAAATACTGGCCTGATTTAATATACAAGAGATGGACCATCTGTCAGAAAGTAAACTACCCAAGCCAACTAGTGGCAGCACTCTTCCTTGAAAAGTAAAATTGTTTGGCATTCAGGGCTTGAAATAATGTTCCAAAAGTTCCAGATCATGATTATCGGCAGTCATGATTTTCTCTGCTTTTTCTGATTGAAAACTCTGCTTTTCCGCTGATCATAAACCATTTCTTGCCAATCATTGATCGGTGATTGGCTGTTATTTCAAGCCCTGGGCATTAGACAGAGTAAAATAATAAAGTAGGATGCATTGCCACATAAAGGGTTAACTATATTTGATTTGCTTCAAGTACTGTACATCCAGAGAGATCATCCCTCTGATCATTATATTTCAGACAAAGGTCAACTTAGGTGTAATACATATCCTTATGGTTACCATGTAGTTTTTATTCTGTTTCAGTGTGGGCAGTTGGCATGTCAATTCCCTCTGATATCTATTATTTGTATTGCATACAAGCGAGCTTCTATATCCACTCTATTTATGCTACTCTTTTTATGGATACATGGAGAAAAGATTCAATAGCAATGATCATACATCATTTCCTAACAGTCTTTCTACTCTGCTTCTCGTTTGCTGTCAGGTAAGTTTAATGTTTATGGGAAAGAGAAATGTATGAGTATAGCCTTAAGTTTTTGAAAGAAATGGAGTAGAAATATTAAGGTATTAGTAGAAATAGAAAGTGGGGAAAAAGGAAGCAGATAAAGAATGAAATGTGAGAGAAAATGGGAGATTGATATAAAAAATCAAAGAACCAAATGATAGAATGGAATTGAAAATTAGAATATTACCAAAGCTGTAGATGTTTTCTCTCCCACAAAAATATATGTTTCATGTCAAAACGGAATGCAACTGCATCCCTACAGCGATTCCTGCTAAACTCTAATTAGTTGATTTCAGTACACCACATGTTTTCTTCCAGTACTCTGGTTTCCTCTAGTAGTAACACTGGGCCACTATGAGATGGCTCTTAGTACAAAACCTCCACTGCGGGCAAAAGTTAGTTTAATATAGTTTTAGGAAAGTGTTTTTACTGTTTTACCTCAAAATAGAACAACCTTCCATTTCTTCTCTCATCTTCCAACTTTTCCTCTTTTCAATCTTATTTTCACCTTGTCACAGAAATGCATTAATTAGAATTATAAAACTTTCCTTTGTCTTCTCTTATGACATTAGAAAACAGGAAATATTCCTGGGTATGCAGAAAATGTTTTTGTTTACTGCTCTCTGCCGTAAATAGCCCGCGGACCCCTGTGTCACAGATATTTATGCTTACTATACACAGAACTGAAGCACATACTAACGGGCAGACCATCAGAAAAGTGGTGGTTGGGGAGGGGAAGGAGACAAAAAAAATTCGCGCAAGGGAAAATAGAAAAAAATCGTGCAAAGAGGAAACCAAAGAAAAAGTAGATTTTAAATTCCGGGAAAAAATACCAGCACAAGCAGACGACGGAAAACAAAATTCGTGCAAGCTGAAATCCCTATCACTTTTCTAATGGTCCGACCCTAAAACTGAATAGTGAAGTACTATCCAAGTACCACTATTAGAATGTAGTTATTATCCGGCACATCCCTAGGAAATGTTTGCATTCGTACATTTATAGATACTACAAAGTTGGAGTATTGGTGTTATTTCTGCATGATCTTTGCGATGTATTTTTGGAATTCACGAAGTTATGTGTTTGTTGGAAGACCAGAAATAACAAGAAGCATTATTGGCCAAGTGTTTTAATAAACGTCGGTTTTCTGGCGTTTTCATTCTCATGGTACGTTGGTACTAAATGTAATGATTGCGTTTTTTTGTTGGCTGAAAATTATTAGACATTTTGACCAATGTTAAGGTCACAAGTCACAAGATGTAACGTACTGTAACGCCTGGATTTGCGCTATACTGGGGAGGAAACAATAAAACTTGAAAATATTCAGTAGGATATAGGAATAAGAAGCCAATTTTGAATGATATAATTTATATGTAATACTTTTTGTTTGTGGAAACACTACGTAAATTTATTACCGCAAAACGTTCGATCCGTAAGCCCCTACCTTCATCAGTGCTAATACTATGATGATTGAAGATCCGGGCTTACGGATCGAAAGCTTTGCAGTAAAAAATTTACGTGGTGTTTCCACAAACAAAAAGTATTATATGTTTTATCGCCATACAATCCTACAAAGAACTTATAATTTATATATTTTGCAATTTGAAAAAGCCATATTCGGGCATATATAATTCACACTATTTTTGAGGAAGATTTGAAAACTTGAATTTTTAAAAAATTGAACCCCAAAGTTTGAGGAAGATTTGTGATACACTCTGTGGTATTAGACCGAATACGAAGACAAAATGTGCCGCAAATATCATTTTGCTGCTATGAATGAAATATTTTTTTCTCATCTTAATTGTGTAGGTTTTATTTTCGTCTATACGTGTTTCCTTACAAAGTTCTATATCCAAGTGGTCACTACGCTGTGGGAGTGTTGCCTCACGCGCCATTTTATTACTTCTTTAATGGTTTATTATTGTTCCTCTTTTCGATGAATCTTTGGTGGTTTCATTTTATAATCTTACTTATCTGGCGAGTGGCGACCGGAAAGAGTCCCGAGGTGGAAGATGTTAGAGAGGTCGGAACACCTCAGGTATGTGTGGCTTATGTTTTTTATCTCTTATCGCAGGGGCATATGAAGTTGCCCCCCCCCCCCCTTCAATATTTTATAAAGGGAGCCGGAAAATTTTCACACACCAGGTGACACATATCCAATTGCCTTGATCGGCCAATCAATAGTAACGATCCATTTTGACTGACGGATAGCCTCCACTCACAAATCATAATGAAAGAATTATTGAAAAAGCCTTACGAAAGAGGTAGAGGGGACTCCGATGCAATTTCCGACGATCTAGAGACTCAAAATTTTCAATTTTCTTCTGCTCGTCGCCAACCATGGTGACGCCTCGTGGAATTGGGCCCCCTAAGTTTATCAAACTTCCCACGCTCCTGTCTTATCGTATAAACTACAGATTGTTTAACTGTTGCAAAAGAGTTTGGAAAAGAATCTAAACCTAAGACAGTAATTAACTGAAATTTTTTGGACTACATGAATTTTTAATCATTAATATACATTTCAATGTACTTGGTAGGAGGAGCAAGGTAGTGAAGATATTGATTCGCACCAATCAAAGAGTAAGTTATTGTTTAATTGTTCAATGATTTGATATTGTTCTGATTGTGATGGTAGTAGTGATGATGATGGTGGTGGTGATGATGAGAATAGTGGTGATAGTTATGATGGTGGTAATGATGATGGTGATAGTTGATGATGGTGGTAATGATGATGGTGGTAGTGATGATGGTGGTAATGATGATGGTGATAGTGATGATGGTGGTAATGATGATGGTGGTAGTGATGATGGTGGTAATGATGATGGTGATAGTGATGATGGTGGTAGTGATGATGGTGGTAATGATGATGGTGATAGTGATGATGGTGGTAATGATGATGGTGGTAGTGATGATGAGAATAGTGGTGATGGTGATGATGGTGGTAATGATGATGGTGGTAGTGATGATGATGAGAATGCTGTTAGTGATATTGATGATGATGGTAGCAGTGATGAGAGTAGTGGTAGTGATGATGATGATGGTGGTAATGATGGTGGTGGTAATGATGATGATGATGGTGGTAGTGTGATGATGATGACGACGGTGGTAGTGATACAGATGGTGGTAGTGATGATGATGGTGGTGGTGATGATGATGATGATGATGATGGTGGTGGTGGTGATGATGATTATGGTGGTAGTGATGATGATGATGATGGTGGTAGTGATGATGATGATGATGGTGGTAGTGATGATGATGATGGTAGTGATGATGGTGGTGGTAGTGATGATGTAGTGATGATGATGATGGTGGTAGTGATGATGATGGTAGTGATGATGGTGGTAGTGATGATGATGATGATGGTGGTAGTGATGATGATGATGGTGGTAGTGATGAGGTAGTGATGATGATGATGGTGGTAGTCATGATGATGATGGTGGTAGTCATGAAGATGATGGTGGTAGTGATGATGATGATGGTGGTAGTGATGATGATGATGGTGGTAGTCATGATGATCATGGTGGTAGTGGTGATGATGGTGGTAGTGATAATGATGATGGTGGTAGTGATGATGATGGTGGTAGTGATGATGATGGTGGTGGTGATGATGATGGTGGTAGTGATGATGATGGTGGTAGTGATGATGATGGTGGTAGTGATGATGATGGTGGTAGTGATGATGATGGTGGTGGTGATGACAATAACAGCGGTGCAGCGGTGGTTATGCTTCCGAGGATGGTGGTGCCGAAGCTGTAGGATATGATTGGTATAAATTGTCAATAATGATGGTAGTAATATAAAAAATGGTGAACATGATGGTGACCATGATGAAAAATTATGAAATTTAAATGTACTAATTGCAACTCGGTCACTTCCAGGAATGAATGGCACAGCTCATTTGATTACAAATGGCTCAACAAAAGACAGCCAAGCGATCACGAATGGCTATGTTCAAGATATACACTGGCGACAACGACAAACAGAAAATGCATCAGACAGCTAGAGATTATATTATAGTGGAAACGTGTGGCATTCTAAATTATAAAACGAATTATCTGTCTTCGTATGAAGATTTGAACGAATGCTGTCGAACTGATCGCAAAATGGCAGCGCTATGGGGACTAGATTGATATTATAGGGATACATTGATATTTTAACTCATCCAGAATAGACTGTACTGTTTATTGTATTATTGCCCTGTGGCCTCATTTCCTTGCGGTTATTTCCTCGTGACATTAGGATTAAGGACAGGTTCGTGATTGGGATCATGATCAAAGAGAAACATGTTGATATTCGTGCATGAAACATGATGACTATATAACCTTCATGTGCGCTTGCCATGCTAAAACAGGCGAACATGGAAACGAGACCATTGAGGCAAAAGGGCAATAAACAGGAAAGTCTATTAAGTTAGTAAAGTTACTTACATTTCATTTCTTTCAACCCATAATCAGGCCCGTAACTAGCTATGAGTTCAACCGAGTCAGTTGACTCGGTAAGATGTTTTGTGAAAAAATTCAAAAGAGGAAGACTTCAAGTTTAGAGAAAACAGATCCTGAATGAAATTTATTCAGAATTTCTGATGAAGGGTAGAAGTACGAATTAGCGTCCCAAATATTACCACAAACACGTTTTCATTAGGGAGCGGTCATTATTTATGGCGGGGGGTGGCACCGAAGAGAAAAGGGTTGGGTAAACTAAATTTTGAGTAAGTAAAAGGTTGGGTAAATGAAAAACAAAACAACTTAAGGGTTGGGTAATAAAAAGTTATTGTCATTTCCAAAGCATGACTCACTTAAATATTGGAGACTGAAAAGCAATGTCAATACAATATGTAAATACAATATGTAAATCAATCAGAGTCACTATCTTGATCATTTTCCGATTTGTTGGGAGACAAATGGTGTCTCCAAAGAAAGTGCATGTACATACAACATGAAAGTTTAGTTATCAAACTTGTGTCACAGAAGTGGTAAAGGACATGTGTGACAACTGAATGGTATTCTTTTGTAAAGGTTTTGGCCAGGGGTGGGTATTTATTTTTTAATTGATATTTGAGGTTGGGTAATCAAATTTTTCGCTTTTTAATGGTTGGGTCAGCAAAATTTTTACCAGGAAAAACATTTCTCTTCGGTGCCACCCCCCACCATAAATAATGACCGGTCCCTTATGCACCTGATCACGTTGGACCAAGAGAATTTGAATTCTTATGATTGGATATTTGTAGTACAATTGTGAGACACACTATATGAAGTTATAGTCATTGTGTCACGGTTTATGAGATTGATTTTTTGCTCCCTGAATGCAAGAAGACTATGAAATTATAGTCATTGTTTATCATTACTGATTTTTTGTTAAAATTGCTCCCAGAATGCAGGAAATAGCGTATCTAAGCCTTAGAAAATCAAACATTTTCTGGGGGAGCATGCCCTGACTGACGACTCGACTCGGTAAATCTAAAATCCTAGTTACGGGCCTGATCATTACCACGGGTGACCTCAACAGGACCTACAGTGATTACTGCGGCCTACTGGAATCCTACAATTTCACCTTCCCAAACTCTCATGACATCCAATCCAGAACCACGTGACGACAATGCATAGAAAACCAAAATTTCATGCAGAATCTTCGGTGTATTTAGTGTCTTACTATCTTTAAAAGATAATTTAATGAATATAGGGCCGGTTCTACCAAGCCATGGTAGCTTATTCGATGCACTTTAGGTACGATGAAGAATTGTACGATCAAATTTTCCGTTGTCTTTATGCACTTATAAAATTTAGGATCAAATGAACATCAAGCATTTTTCCATGTCTTGTTTAATTTAATTTCGTTGAATTGCACTTATTGGATACGCTATCCATGCTTCGTTCAACCGGCCCTCGGGTAATATTGTTATTTAATTAAAATAAATAAATAAAGGAAACTTATTGAAATAAAACTTCATATTGTGTGTTGGAATATTGTGAGGTATTATACACCCTTTTCATAAATGACTGCCGATTAAAAATTCTTTTATGTGCATATAAGTTGGCCCAACTAGCCTCGTTTCTGGGTAGAAATTCCTAGTTTGAAATCTTAACTTGAGTACGAGGCTAGTTGGGCCAATTTATACTATGCACATAAAAGAATTTTTAATCGGCAGCCATTTATGAAAAGGGTATATTGGTGACATAGTTCCGGGTAAGGCCGTAGCGAGGGGGGGGGTATTGGGGGGTGCTAACCCCCCCCCCCAACTTTTGTAGAATTAACATATTCGGAAAATCGGGTTGGCCATTCGGAAAATTACGGCAATAATAGTATATGCTTTTTTTACGAAAATCATGAGATTCAGGCAATTTATAGGTAATATTTGACTTTTAGTATGTCCGGGAAAAATTTTTGACCCTTAAAATGGTACACTGACCGAAATTTTTTTGGCGACGGGGGGGGGAGGGAGGTCGCCCAAAATTTTCGATTGAAAAAAAATTTTCCTACATCTTCATATGCTAGCTTCGTATGCCATGAAATATTCGGAAATTTTCTTCGTCATTCGGAAATTTTTGGCCTACACCCCCCCCCCAACTATACATGCTAGCTACGGCACTGGGTAAGGGAGCCACCTTATGATTAAAACCTGTGTTTGTGTCAATTTGGGATAATCTTCAACATATATATGACAAAAAGAAGTGATTTTGCTTCGGCTTTACACGAGCGCATCAGTGCAAAAATTAGCTACACAATTTTTCGGGTGATGTTCACTAATGAAACTACTCTACATCTACGCCAAAATCCGTATACGTAGCTAGTAGTTACGCAAACCTGCGTCTCGGAAAAAGTCCTTTTATACCGGATTCGCGTCACCTCGACATTTCGTGCCTCGGTAAATATACACCGCTTTTTACCCCAGTTTTATCGACTTCGCAGGCTCAAGTTGCAGTCAGCGGTCAGGTAGTGATGACGTCACAAGCGGCAAATTCGTTGGCAACAAGCATAAACAACGAAAATGTTCACGATTGTTTCTAACGATTTATGATGTTTTTTTGTGATAAATAAAGTATTTTAAAGTTTTTAAAGTTTTGCTGTGGTACAAAATGGTAAGATCTATTTGTATGGATGTATTTCTAAAAGACTAAATGTGAAATAATGCACTCAAAATCGGTGTTCTTGCATGTATGATGGATGGTTGTAAAATTGAGCAGATTGGGGATTTTATATATTAATAGTAGATTGTTTGGGTAATATATAGCTAAATGAGATACAAACGGATTCTACTAGACTTATATTTACAGTCCGTATGTTATCTCCTATTGAAATATGCTTCGATTGAAATATGCTTTGTACAGTGTACATGAGATTTTCTTTATAGTTTCAGCAAGAATCAATACAATATGTGTATTAATTGTATAGTTATAGATGTTGGGCATAGAGAATTAGAACTACTTCATATAGCAGTAAAACTGAGTGTTGGAGGTTTTTTTCGATGGCAATTTCAAGCAAAGCTGCAACCTGTGATTCCAGTGCAGCACTCCATTGAGCTATAGAGTTCAGTTCAAGTAAATTTATACTGGGGTGATGACAGATTACTCTTAATATTTTTACACTGGCATCATATTAGTATAAATACAAGTTTTGGGCTCTTGTTCCCCACCTACCAGGAGCTTGGCCCTAGTGGTGAGCCAGGGACTGTTTCCCTACATCACCCCATACCAGATCAAAGTCGATCTATCCTTATGTCACAGCAGGCGTCAACAAGGAGAGCAAACTTAAGTCATGCTCAACAATCGAAGCTCCGAGCGGACGATAGAAGAAGAGAAATCCTACGCGAGGAGAACGTGAAAAGACTGACAGCTGAGAAATTATTGGAAGCCAACATGGCGAGCGAAGAACGAGTGGAAAATAAAAGGTTTCTATGTCGACTTCAGCTTGAAGCAAGGGAGAGAGACATGGACCAAGCATTGTTTCAGGTGAGAAAAAGAATCATAATTATATCTTTTTTATTATAGGTTCACCAAAATAAGAAATTATTAGGGGGGAGAACAAGTAACACTAGTTTCCTTGCATTTTCATGATTTACGTATTTATTTCTATAGGAAAATGAAGCTAGGCTACTAAAAGAGCAACAACTTGAACAAGAAGAGCGACTGGCAAAGGAATTACAAAGAATGAAAATGGAAAAACTAAGAGATGAAAAATTCCGACAGCAAATCAGGGAAAATAGGTAAGGGGTGTCATGGCAATTATAATATTACTCAGCAGCAGAGTGTGATAATCCCTCTTTTTCAGTTTAAGATGTGAATGTAACCCCAATTTTAATTTATATAATAAATAATATAGCGTGGAACTTCGAGAATTAGAGGCAAAGTTAAAAGCTGGTTACATGAACCGAGAAAGGGCAGCGCAACTCGCAGAGAAACATTTGTTGGAAGTTGATGAGCAGGTTAGTGAACATTTAGAAGTTTGAGCCCAAGTTGATCTCAAACTTCAGGCCAAAAAAACAAATACCTGGGTTTCCTATTTCTCGTTGCAAAAACTAAATAGGTAGGGTAGGTCGGGTTTCCTTTTTTTTGTTAATTTTTTTTATAAATGCTCATGCATGAGAGTGAATGTTCTACATCAATTACTGCAGCACAGATGGCACAAACATTCGTTAAATATTATATCAAGTTTGAAACAAACAGGTTGTATTTTATGTAGATAGTACAAAACTAACGTACGTTACGAAATGGGTACGAAAAATTGCTCCAAAGGGTCCGTGATTTCAGTAACCAAAAGCTAGGTAGGGTCAGGAAACCGGAAACCCATGCAGGTATTGTTTTCTTTGGCCTAACTGAGTGGTTCAAACATCCAGAAGTTACATATTGGTAACAACAGTAAAAACATCAACTGCTTGACAGTGCTTGTGCTTGGGTAACAGTGTTGTCTGCCATTAATAGAATCGTGAAGCAGAAATTGCAAAGACGATGAGAGAGAACCACAACAAAGCTTTAGAAGCACAGACAGCCAAAGAGAGAGAGCGATACGATGAAAGCGTTCGTCATCAAGAGCAACTCGAGAAACAATTGTTGGAACAGGAGAAGAAGAAACAGGATGCTTATGAAGAATTCTTGAAAGAAAAATTGATGATTGATGAAATTGTTAGGAAAATTTATGAAGAAGACCAAAGGTAACTTTTCATTGAGAGAGTTCTGTCTAAGGGAGACAGCTAACCAGGCACAGATTTTCTGGGGGGTGCACACCCCCCAGAAATTATTTGCCCCCCCCCCCCAAGAGGCATTTGGCACTGCCCCCAAAAGTTTTTGCACCCCTGAAAATTATATATATTTTGATTTGATAGTTTCATATTTGATTATTCTTACTACTAAATTTGTAAAATTACCAATATTATGGTCTCAAATTTTGCCATGCAGGCCTAGAAAACAAATTTTGTTAAACTTTTTCCTTGGCCTTTCCGGGCGTGGCCACCAAGCCCCGGCCAAAGCAAGCAGCAGCACCACCCCCCCCCCCACCCAGATATTCATCCACCCCCTGAATGAAAATATGAAAATCTGTCTCTGAGCCTGTGGCAGACAGTGATTGGAGGAATGGAACTGTCCACCCGCTCCCAAATACCTTGAATTAAATCTTATTAATAAAGTATCTGAAAGCAGGGTCTGAAATTTGCAGTATCCCGATTGTTATCCACAGGATACTAAAATTTGGTTTTAGATACCAAACTGTGAATGACTTGTATCCCGACTGGATATTATGGACATTGGTCTTCCAATAGCTTTGAATACTACGAGTCTGCTCTCTTGAGAAAATAACCGGCCTTCGATTGCCAACTTGGTGGTCTAGTTATTGACTGTTGAGTCTCTTGTTGTCATTGTAATTTATAACAATGAGAGATATGTACTGATGCTGTGTTCTCAGATGGGATACTATTTGAATCCTACTGTAGTATCCCAGGGGATAAAAAGTTTTAAATTTCAGACCCTGGAAAGATACCTAAGTGCCTAGCCAAGTCTGCTACTGAGTAAAATATTGGCAGGATTATAGACCGTCCTGGAACTTTTTCACCCCTCCCATGCTGGAATAAGCAATTCTGCCAATTGTCCAGAAAAACTTGCTATCTAATAAAAACTCACAGTATTACTAACTGTAAACCTATGAAATGCCTACAGTTTGCTCTTAAGAAATTTTGCTGCAGCTATATTTTTGTTTTGCATTTTCATAAACCAGAGAGCTTGAGAAAAAGCTGGGGAAACAACGTGCTACCCAGAGATATATCACAGAGTTCAAGAAAAAGAGAGATGAGGTAAAGTATCAAATAAATGTGTTTATAAATTATATCTTAATAAATATTATCATCCAAATCCTGCTAAATTTTATAAAATGGTCCTGCCATTGTGCAAATTTTAAAAACTTCATATTCATAATAAAACATTTAAAAAATTTCCCAGCATTTTGCCAATTATAATTTGTAAAACAAACGCTATGCTATTCTAATACAAGTAAAGTTTTCTTTTAAAGTTTACATAATAATATGCCAAATTTTCTACGGCCATTTAAAAACCACGTGTGGAACATTATCCTACCTTTAAATGGTCCATGTTCGTCTTTTAAGACAACTTTTGCGCTGATATTGTCGTAACAATTAACCTTTCAAAGCGTTTTGAACATTACTTCAGTTTTTGAATTGAGCTAAAATACGATTTAAAGCATCAATTTTGTTCTCCAAAGTCAAGAAAGTTGCGTTCAGTCGTCCTCGTGCGGCCATTTTTTAATTTTCCCGCCTTTCCAAGCCCTTTCACTGTAACACTGATCTTTTAAACTGATAATAAAACTGGACAATGAAAACGTTTTACGTAGTACTATTTAAAACACGAGCAGACGCTGAGTGTTTTATATCTGATAAAGCACGACCGGACTGCGCTTGTTTTAAATGGCTTAAAAAAAAGACCCATCTTATCAGTTCATTGGCGAAGTAATTTTAAAAATTGTTCATCTGTCTGTAGTATTAATTGGATTGTTGTTTTAATTGTTTAGTGGAAGAAACATGAACAGGAATTGATGGAAGAAGAGAACAGACGAATCTTGGAGTTTGCTAAGGAGCAACAGAACAGAGAGGAAGAGAGAATGGAGAGGAGAAAGCAAGCTGAAGAAGCCATGACTAAAGTACAAGAGAGGGTAAGTATTTATTGTGGTGTTGATGATGGTGTTGATGTTGATGATGATGATGGTGGTGGTGATGGTGGTTATGATGATGGTGATGATGGTGGTGGTGATGATGATGGTGATGATGATG